ATCATAGCCACATTAAGTCCAACTTACGCTATTTGCTCATACATACAATTGTTAAATATACTTTAATAAGATATACTTTGTTTCGTTCTCTCAAAAAGAACCCTTATTCGCGTAAAGTGCAAAATACCTGTTAGTAAGAAATGTAGCTAATTTACGAATAGTGTCAATAACCTATCTCTCCTTGTGAACTTATGTCTCTGATTTAATAACCTGTAATTAGGTCGACTCATACCGCAGGTACATTGTATTGGTCAGGTTTATTCTCTAAATTTCTGTGGTCACAAAACTAGCTATATTTCAACGTTCATGAAAAGAAAAATATAAAATATAGGACAAAAGAAAGAATATTTAAAAAAAAAAAACCCTTTCAAGTTCTACACTATTTTGAAGAGGGTTAACAAAATTGAAATAATTTTTGAGCAAAAGTAAATGAAATATTTCGAATTGCTTATCAATTTCAAACTATATAAATTTCAATAAAATTTATACTCATGTTTTCTAAACAACATTGAAGTAACAGCATTCAAAATTTGCTCAACTTATAAACTGTTACTATGCAATTACTTATCGCCAAAAATATCATTTCATTCATAAAATTTAAAAATAAATATAATTTTTCTAGAATTATTTTTAAAAAAAATCGCATTATTTTTTCTCTCCTTTAAATACAATATTTAAATAAGATGCAATATATCAAGTATTTTTTTAGGGAGTAATTTACACCAATAAATTACAAAATTTTTCTTTCTGTTTCTTATCTGGAAAGGAATAGGCAAATTTAATATTTTTTTATTATAAGAATTATGATTTAAACAATTATATATAATGCACAAAAGAGAATTTTAAAATTGCTCATATCTTTATTAAAGTTTAATTACAATAGAGAGTTTAAAACCCATATTATTCGAAAAAAAGTTCTTAATACTTCTACTATGTATTGTTTGCTCAAGAGAATAACATAAAAATGGTTACAAAAACTCCAACCGATTTTAAGATATGAAAATGATATTAATTTAAAAAGAGTTTGCTCATTGAAATGTATAATTTTCTTACTTTTGCATATGATTTTTAATTACTAAAAATATTATAGCACAATAGTAGCTTATGAGTTAATTTTAATATAGTATTTTTGTGTAAATGAATGCAAAATTTTGTTTCCATGTGTCAGCTAAAACACGTTAAATCTACTTTAAATTTTTATTACTTAATTATAAACTCAAATTAATTAAACTTTTAGCTACTAAACTGTAAACTTAAATTGTTTTAGTTCCTTAATTGTTGCAAAATTGCTAGAAATTTAATTATTCAAAATACAATATCTCAATAGAATTCGATCAATTCACGGCGTTTCATTTCAAAAACCCTAAAATCGGTTGACCAAAAAAACGCCTTCCATTTTTCTCTTTAAAATATGATTTTTTTAAAAATAAAATAAGGCAAACGGAGACATCATTTGATTAATGAACAGAAAAAAACTTAAAATTGAGTAGAATTTGAAAATTATCTTAACGCGTTTTTTTTTAAAGAAATTATGAATACAGAACCTTAAAAATCGCTCTTTTCCTTACTTGAAAATGTTTTCGATTCAAAAACATTATGTAGGACAAAGGTTTAATAAAGATGGAGCTGTAAGCTGATGAGCTTAAACCATCAGACGAAGTAAATGAACTTATTTTCAATGGCCTTCTTTTCTATATGAACAGGATTTTCAAGTCTAAGCGGCCTTCACTTTGTCTAATGTGTCTTATTTAAATTGTTTCTATTTCTCATACCTGACGCAAATTATAAATTCAACTCAGTTTTTTTTTTAATTGTAATAGAACTGACGTTATTTCTAAAGAATGAAATGTATTTTTGAAATGCCAATTATAATTAAATAAAAATTTTAAAGGTTATTCTTTCTCAGTATTAAATTATTAAAAATATCGATATTTAAAAATGAAAAATAAGAAAACGATTAAAAGAAAGATTTTTTTATGATTTGATTTTATAAAACGATTTTTTTCTTAAACTTCGCATAGAATCGTTTTCTACAAAAGTGTTTAGAACTTCGCATTTTAAAGTATCATTTTTAAACATAAGAAGGTATATTAAGTTGTCAGGTATTTAAAATTCAATTTCGCAGGAACTATTGTACTTATTTCGCTCTAATTTTGCATTCTGTCGTATAACATTACATTCCTTAAAAAATTGTCAAAATTTGCATACATTGTACTAAATTAAATAATAAATAATTATTAAAAATTTTACTAATTAATTACAATTACTATGAATCGCTTTTTGCATGGAGTCTTTTGATAAACTAATTTTATAATTCTGTGCAAAAATTTTTCAACTTGCTTAAAAAGTTCTCGTGATGCAACAAAAAACGTAAAAAGTCAAATTAACATTCAATTAAAATTTTGGGGTTCAAATTTTCGACGGTCCTCTTGACCAAACTATTGGGACCAGCTATTCCAGATTGCGGCTTCCTCCTACATTTTGAGAGTTAAAAATCCAAATCCATCAACAATAAAAAGTATGTTCCTGCAGAGGAATTATGTTTTTGGGTCTATTTTCGTAACTTAAAATCATATTTGAGGTCATCTCCTTGAATCCCTAAGGTAGTCCTAGAACGTGAAAATCCGATCATTAGATCAAAAGTTATTAATAGGGATTATTTCTAACCAATGTTCCGATTTTCTTACTACTTCTACAAAAATTTTTATTGTTTTGATAGTTTTTCACAATATGAGTAAATTTCTATGTGTACAACTTGAAAAATAAAAGACAAACTAACAAGTTGTAACTATTTATTAAAATATCAATACTGTACATAATTGTTACATTACGAGAATGAAGAGTAATAAATATGTCAAAAAATTGTAAGCACATAATAGAATATATTACAAGACACAATTATTTATGGAGTAAAACATGTGTATATATTAAATCTACTTTAATATGTCATTTGTGTGCTTTTATAATCACTGAAGAGTTTGTAAATGCGTGCCTGTGCTCAAATAACAAAAGCTGATTACTGCTTTAAAATTATAAAACCTATATTTTTGATTAGTAAATTGTAATATCATTAAATATGCATAAGTTATCCAAACATGCAAATTTTTGAACGGCTCCAGAATAATTTAAATCTTTATTTTTCATTTTTGTGTGAGATTGTTTGAGCGTATTTTAGACAGAATTAAGAGAGCAAGAAAAAAAATAAGCAAAGAAATTTTAAAATATAAAATATTTTATGAGATCATCAGTGTATTAAGTTTTAAAGTATTTTCATCAAATTATGTTACATCGAAATTCTAGTTTCCTTTTTTAAATTTGTATCCATTACTTCATAGGTTTAACTGCCCTGATTAGGTCCTGATCTTCTTCCTGGTCTCTGTGACTTTTGGCAACTGTTTTCTAGTTTTCATCTTTTGGAGTGTTTAATTCTTTTTTAACACAATCAATCCATGTCAGTAGGGGTCTGCAGGCAGGTCAAGTACGTATGAGCTATGCCGTTTTAACTTTTTTTTTAAGTAATCATTTTGCATTCTGACTAGTCCATTTTTGTCTCGATTATTTTTAAAAAATTTACTGCATCAGGTTGTTTATAGATCTCGTAGAGTTCAAAGTTAGATCTTCCCGTTCACCTAGTATGCATTGTTCTCTCAAAATACCCAAAAGCTTTCTTATGACTCAGCGCCTAAGCCTCTTGTACATTATTTCAGGGCAGGTGTATTTTAAATAGCTCTTCAGGCTTTAGAGACACGTGTTCGCAGCAAAATTTCTTTCCTATATTTCTAGAAAAGCTAGTGCATTTTTATGATTCCCCTCCAAAAATTGTTGCAGGTTACATAAAATTCAAGTTTCAAAACAAATATAATGAATTAGTTTGCTTAAAAATGAGATCGCGTTTGAGATCAAAAATCCGTCTAAATGTTTAAAATTTTTAATTCTTTACTTGAACTGTTACATGGTTAACAAGTTTCTATAAAAATGGAATGATTCACGTATTGATTGAGGACTAGGAAAATCTCGAGCCATTTGATTAAGATTGAATAATAAAACCGTCAAGAAATGGTTTGTGTAGATGAAAATTATCACGAGCTTGCGGTAGTGGCTCAAGAGATAGAGCGTTCGCCTTTCAATGAGGTGAACCGGGTTCGAATCTCAGCGATGGCTGGTCGATTCAAATTCCACACCCGGCTCACACTGACCACAGCAGTGACGTAAAGTATCCTCAGTGGTAGATCGAACAGGGATTAGAGTCTCCTTGCAGTCAGGCTAACCATGGGAGATTTTCCTCTCCATGTAACGCAAATGCGGGTTAGTTCCTCCAAGAAGTCTTCCACGAAAGCAAATTTTTTCGAATATTTGATCCAGGAGTTCCCTTATCTTCTGGATTAGGTTAAAATTACCACTGCTACGGAGTTGAACATTGGTAGTCGTGAACCCGAAAATTGGTTTGGCTGTTCGACCAAGGTTATAAAATAAAATGAAATCATCATGAGCAATTCAAATAAGTTTGCATCATTCCTATATAAACAATTAAAAATGCCACTCATTTTATCTTAAACACTGCTATTTATCTTACGCATTTCCACTTTTATTTTACTGCAGTGTTATAATGCTGGAGTAATAATTTAAAAAAAATTTCTTAACAAACTTAACGAATTTTTTTTTCGGTTAATAAAAGAACTAAAAAAAAAACTTTAAAAACATTATTACGTTTGTGTTTTACTTCGATTCGTATAGTTATCAATACCAAATTATAGTAAAATGTAAAATAAATAAATAAAAGTTTTAATAATAAAAAGGTTAGATTTGTTTTTCTTCTTCCTTATCTGACTTGATCAAGACATATTCTTTGGTTCAAGTGTTACAGAATAATTATGAAACTTTAAAAAATTAAGAAGAAGATATATTAGAAAAAAATTATAGATTTAGTTTTAAAGTAAAGGCGCCATTTAAATTAAAAGTGTAGAAATAAGTAACGAAATGTTATTTTTTTTTAAAGTCAATTTTCCTTTTATGTTTTACCTAATTTCCCCCTTGAAAATGTATATAGAGAAAAGAGAGAGAGGGAGAGAGAGAGAGCTGCGTGTCAATTTTTTTTAAAACATGTTTTAGAAACTAAACATGTGTCACGAACTCAGGATTGAAGTAAGAAAAGGCGTTGAACACATTCTGATCCATGTTCATAATGACTAATTTGTCCGAAGGAGTGAGATCAGGCTTGCTGGCAGTGAACTGTCTATCAAAATTGCTAACATCTTGAGAATGGTTCTGAAAAAAAAGAGAACACATTTAAAATTAACTGACCAATTTTTATTAAAAACATTTGAATTAACTAAGTATCAGTTTGCATGATTTGTGAATAATCAAGCATTCAATCATTAAAGTTTGTAATCATTCAAGCTTTAATTTTTGCAGAATAAATACACATTTACTAATATATTGAATAAAAACATAATCGAAGAAACATTTTTTGCACAGTAACACAGATTTTTAATTAATTAACTTTAATTATAACTTATAAAACGCAGTTTTTGTTTCATAACTTCTAAACTATGAGATCAGATGCTGTTAGAAATCCTGAAATACGTTAGACCATAGTATTTTGAAAATTTGCAGCAAAAGAGGCCAAATCGAACTGCATTATTGTACAAATTTGATTACACGATAATATAGTTTAATTTGTATGGGAATATGGTTCAATTTATTGTCCAAAATTAAATTGAATTAAGTTGCAGAAAATTTGCAACATGTTATAGATCAATGTAATGATTCAACATTGAACTGATTCTTCTTTGAGAGTTACAAAGCTACAAAGAGCTACAAAGAGATACGGCAACCCCGAGCTAATGTAACATACAAACTAAACTCGGTTAAATTGAATTTTCTCAATTGGTTTGGTAACTTGCTTTTCAGTTACCTTGGTACCTTGCTTCTTAGTTGTCTTGGTAATTTGCTTCACAGTTGCCTTGGTAACTTGCTTCTACATGCTAACTGCTTTTTTCTTTTTATTTAATGGAGATTCGTATATTGTTTATTATCTGAAAATGTCTCCATTTTTCCTTGCCGATTAATGCTACTTGTTCTAGTGATATTATACTACACTATAATTATTATTGATATAATGTTGTTCTATAATATCGGTGTTTTGAACATTGAATGGTAAAAATTTGCAAACACATTAATAAGATGTTAAATTCTATCACGATGAACCATATTATTGTAATTTCAAGTTTAGGGGATATTTCCGTATCATGATCAGCCAACTACAATCGCCAAGGCACCAAATAGATTTTAAATTTGCCATTTTATATAAAAAAATAATAACTATGGAGATTCGCCAGGGAGTGACTACGAGTTATCACCGAGTCAGCTCTCTTCTGTGATGTATTATTTTTCTTTTTTTAGTTGCCAAGAGTTGGCGATTATTCTGCCGCAAATCGCAATACGAAAATCTTTCCCAAGTTTAAGAAGTACGATAAAATGATTCAACTTAAAACCATAATAAGATAGCAGTAAATTTGTACAAAATTCTGTCTCAATGCTATCCGAAATTTCTAGCCAAGAATAACTTTTCATAAGCCTTCTTCAGCAGAGAGGACTTATGGTTATACTTTACACTATAAACATTCAGCGTAACAGAGCACTGTAATAGTATCCTCTATTGAACGTTTTATTAGCATCATACACTGTTTGTTGTAAGTTTGAGAAAACGTAACGCTTCTGTCAACACTATTTGCATCTAAATAATAATTTTTTTTAAAATCCTAAAATGATGAATAATGTTAGTACTAAAATATTTAAAAAAAATATTAGCACTGAAATGCATTATTATTATTAACCGAGGACTCAACTCAAAATAGAACTAAAGCTTACGAGGCACTGTTAAAAAGAGTGCCTCAATTTTAAGCAAAAAATGTATCGAAATAGCTTTGAAACAAAGTCGAATTTGAAAACCCATGTACTCATTATTGAGTGACATGCTCACTTTGAATACTGCCAAAAATGACACATATCATCCTCAAACGTGATAAATTTCAAACTTCATCAGTTTATAACGATCAAATATTCGAAAGGAAAATCTAATTAGATAAAAGTTTACTGCACTTGCCTTCATTCCAAATTTATTTCAGAGATATGGAATGTAGAATGTCTTCAGATCGATAATTATCATTTTCCTACCTTGACTTCATGCTTATTCGCAAATGAAGCCTAATTCCTAAAGCTGCTTCAATTTTGACCACGTCACTATACTCAATAAGGAGAACAAGGGGTTTTCAAATTCGACTCTTCTATGGAAATAGCTCCCCACGCCATTCGTCTTAAGCATGCCATTAACTTTTCCACGCCATTTGTCTGACTATGGTTACGAGGTTTAACTATTTCAAAATGGGTCAATATAGGCTCGGGTCGGAGAGAGAGAAACTACTTTCTTTTAAACGTGCTGTTTCTTGTTTCCATTGAGACAGACGACATTAGACTTTGTGGTCTGGCAGCTATTCTGACACATTTTTACTCAATTTTGGGAAAGTGTGAGATCAATTTCTCCCCATAGATGTCTATAATATTAAGGCCAAAAATTGTTCAAAGGATGATTTATTTGATTCTGGCAAATGGACATTTATTAGAAATTACAAAACGTTATTTCCAAAATATTGCAATTATCTAAATTAGCACAAAAGCTCAATTGGGACAAAGTGGCAAAACCAATATAAACATATATAATTACACATTAACTCTCTATAATTGGTGAATTTCTGAGAATACCTGATGAGTTTTACAGATCTAGAACTCATAGTCCACCCCTACCTCTTTTTGCTGGAATTCTTTTGCTTCCAGATTCAATTTAAACAAAATGAAACTTACTAAGTAGACAAAATTATTAAAGATATTTTTATACCAGAATTTTTAGAATATAATTTAATTTTAAAAACGTAAAAAACGTTTAAGAAATCCGGTTTAAGACCAACCAAAAAGAAGTCCGACCGCAACCAAATCGACCTCAAACTTAGTGATCCAAGGGTTAAAAACAAGGTTAGAATCTAAAACTGATTTGTCAGAATAGATTATATAAATTTCTCTAACACTGTAATTGATTTTTGCATAATAGAATAAAGTTGCATTCGTTATCATTCAATTTTGTGTGAATATATTACTTCACTTATAATTTTAAAAATCTTTCTTGAAATCGAAATAGCTCAAAAAGATATGCCAGACGAAAAATCTTCGCGTTCAATATTCTATTCAGGCACCCAACCCTGATGTAGGCCTCCGAAGAGAGTTACTAGAGAAATTCCAAAGCCATTCACAACAATCGCGTAAAAAAACACTCCCTTTCGAGTCGCAGTTTTTTTTCTTCTCTCTTTAAGGGAATAAAGTGATGGGAAAATGCAATTGAATAAAATTTCTCACGAATTTTCTTCACAGTCGCCTAGGAAATGCGAGAACTTACGTTGACTTCACGGCCATTTTGTTTGAGTAAAAATCATGTGATCGTTGCCACGGTGGACATAAAAAGATCGTTTTATTTTCTGTGTAAAGAATGAATGATGTAATCTATTAAAATGCTTTGGCTGTTGTGACCTTGCTGATGACTTAGAAACATGTGTCTACAATTCTTAGAAATATTACTGTTAGTTATTCTCGAATATTTGAAAACTTCATATGATTGGCACGATTAACGTAAATATTTGAGGCAAAAAACACGAGTTGTTTCTATTTCTTCGTTATGCCATGACAAACACTACAAAATCATAGCGTAAACAAGGGTTTAAAAATAGTGTTTTAAAATACATTAATTTTCATAATAAGCCATACACCTCAAATATCCTTAATACAGTAAACTGATCAGAAATTTTATATTTATGATTTCATTTTAATTTTCTCAAATATCGTTTGCTAACAAGAAACATTTCATATTATCAAATTAAATTTATCAAAAAATTATTCAGAGCATTCGTAACTGAACTATAAATATTAACAGATATGAAATCAAAAGAATGCTAAAAATTAAGCTTTTTAAATATTATTTAAAAAAAAATAATTTATCAATGTATATTATGTGATGAATCTGTATATTAATTTTGAGAATTATTTGTAAATAATTTAAATTAAAAACAAACGATATAAATTTAGTATGAAGTTAGGAACTCTCTTTCGCTAAAATATCGTTTGATAACGTTTGTATAATTGTAATGAAACTTGTAAAAGTACAATTTAAAAGCAATATATTCATTGAATTTTGGGCCTTATTCTTCAAAAAATTAAATTTAAAGGTTAACATCATTTTATAACTGACGATGAGAATGAGAAAGGTGAAGTTTCCCTTATGGTAGGTAAAAAATTTTATGTTTAAAAAACTATAAGAAATAGAATGGTAATTGGAATTCTTCGTCTAGTATGATATACTTAATTTTTCCACTTATTTCTACTGTTTTTTTTAAATTTACTGCTATTATTCGAATCATTAATGCAATACATTATTAAATTTAAAATGTCAAGTGGAATTTCAATTAAAATGTTAAAAAAATAGTCTTATTCTCACTAAAAAACAATCAATAATTCTGAAATTTAGATCTTCTGAACAATTGTATTGAAAATAATTTTTGAAATTTCCTTTTATTATTATGATCTGCTTATTCTTTAAAGTTCAGATCTTTTATTTTTTAAATAACACTAATTTACTTCTTTGCATTTTCTTATGTATTTAACATAGTCTTTTCTTATGTATTACGTAAAGAAAATTTTTTACCATTACGTTTTTGAAACCATCTACAACTAGTGTGCTAAAAACAGTATGAATACAATACTATACGCTTTTTAACCATTAACAACTAGCACGGTTTCAAAACCGTAACGAAGAAATTTTGGGCATTGAATCTAGGCTTTTCTTTAGGTATTGGGCATTGGAGTTAGGTTATGATTGAGTTGTGTTTCATCAAATAAACTGTGGAATGTGATTTAATTAGTTTATCTAATTGTTTCACCTATCGTAAGAGATGAGAAATACTAGACTTATTTTGTATTAAGCAGCTTTATGCTGCTGCCATCTATGCGTCAATGAGAGTATTATATTCTAATCTTTCAGGGTGAAAATTGGGGAGTGCAGGGCACAGAAAACTTTTCATATATTCAAGGGAATGGTGAAAATATTGTGGTGTCAACAGTGGAACTGAACTCCCATTCTGTCAGTCATGAGAGTGACAGATTATCTCCGTCTGTTATAATACGTGCCCAGCAGCAATTAACGAGGTGGAGATAAAATTCTGGTT